AATACACATTTTTAATCCTTCCTTTTGGATAATATTAATAATATTTCCATAAGTAAGGGTATTATATGGTATGGTACCTTCTTCGTTGACTAAAACTTGTCTGATTTTGTGTGCAAATAAGTTTGGTAACCCATTTACAAATTTTTCCCTTCCAAAATGGCTCTTTATTGTCTTCTCTAAGTATTACTTTAGACATGAAAACATCTTTGTTACCACCTAAAATTGCTTAAGGTGGGGCATCTTAGATTACTTAGTTGATCATGTATTCTTGAGGTTACGTTACTTGGCGTTCCTATGAAGTGTTCAATTATTATGAAGAGTAATGTGTTGACTGCATCTGGGACTCCCATACCGATTCTTTCATCAAATATAGGGGTTCCATCTTCATCTATTTTTACTGCATGTTTTATTGCATTTCTGGATTGTTTAGTGGGATGTTTTTCCCACCAGAAATATAACATTCCTGTAAATTTAGTGACTAATAATCAACAACTTCTGGTTCACTGAGATTATGATTGGTAACATAACTGTTAACAACCATAGTTATATGTTGTAATTTGTTTAGAATTTCTTGCTCGGATAAACCATCTATACTCCATTCATAACCTTTATCTGCCAACACTGAGAATTGACTTTGGAAATTTCTTTCCTCAAATTGAATATCCAAAGGTGTTGGCCTTGGATACGTATTCTTGGTAAAACTAGTTGGATTTATTTTGCCTTTGTTTGTTATTCTTTTTAATTTGAAATTTTGAAAAGCTGCTTCCAATTTTTTGACCGCATTACTGTCCTCTGATTCTGAGTTTTAAAGAGTTGTCTCTGATTGTGATTCTTGGTGTCTTACTACACTAATGGTGTTCTATTCCCTTTTTTTATTCTTTCAACATTTGGTCAATTCTTTCACTAGTAGAGTTTGTTTTTAGAGCTGTTTTATTGGATACGGCATTTGGGAAGTTTACTAAAGGTTTTTCTTTGGGTATGATTTTTTGTTGTCGTAGCATATCTATCACATCCCGGCCCGAGCCCCCACCATATCCCGGGCTCGACTCCACCATAGCACGACATTGTCTGCTTTGGGCCTCGACCACACCTTCACGGTTTTGTTTCTGGGAACTCACACGAGAACTTCCCAGTCCCTAGCCGGAGGTGTGCCAACGAGGACGTCGAGCCCCTAAGGGGGGGGTGGATTGTAACATCTCCACATTGACCAGGGGAGTGGATCCTGTAAGCCTTATATGTATATTCCTATCTCTACCTAGCATGAGGCTTTTTGGGAGCTCACTGGCTTCGGGTTCCATCGGAACTCCGAAGTTAAGCAAGTTCGCGTGAGAGAAATCCCAGGATGGGTGATCCACTGTGAAGTTCTTGTGTGAGTTCCCAGAAACAAAACAGTGAGGATGTGGTCGGGGCCCAAAACGGACAATATCGTGCTACGGTGGAGTCAAGCCTGAGTTGTGGTAGGGTCTCGGGCCGGGATGTGACACTTTCTATTTTACTTTCAATTTTATCTTATTGTTTTCCTATAACATGTAGGCTTTGGTTCGTGAAATTATTTTGTTCTATGACTGGTTTAATCCCTGCATCTTCTTTAGGGATCTTATAGGGTGTAGCTGCTACCTATTTATTTGAGGTGGAGATTAGTATTGTTTCTTGTGGAGGGTGGCTCAAAGAAATTACTGTTTTGTGTTGTTTGTCCCAATTTTCTTTTGTGATTACTTCTATTTTCTTTTCTAACTCATAATATTCTTCAACAAAATCGAAGAAGAATATATCAATCTTGTGATTATTCATAAAGTTTTCCCATCTTTCATAAATATCTAATTTTTGATCTTGGGTGTAAATTTGTCTGAATCTTTCTCTCCTTGGTATATTTTCTTCTGCTTTGATGTTAGCTTTTAATGATTTCCAATGTATTTTAAATGGCTTGCTTAAAACTAATAATTGTTGGTTTATTTCAAAATCAGTTGTTGTTGGTGAAGTTGGTTCTTCTTGAGTTTCGGTAGCTTTGGTTTGGGCTTGGTTTTCGTAACAAGTGTGAGCAACTTGGGAGTTTGTTTTAACTGGTTTGAGTCTCATATTTATTAAATCATTAATTAATTCTCAATCACGATCTAATATGTCTGTTGAAGTTGATCTTGAAAATGAATTTCTAACTGGTTCTTTGGACCTAGTTGATTGACTTAATTCATGAAGTTGGACACTCGACTTTCTAGCTAGAGTGTTGAAATTGATTTTAACTGCACCGTCAAAGTATTGTTCTATGTTGCCTAGATTGACTAAGTTGTTTTGAATATCAATTGGTTTGCTCTCATTAATTAAGAACCAATCTGATGTTAAACTGACGTCTGACCATTTGATGGTTCTAGGTATTTTGATATTGGCATTTTCTTGATTACTTTGGATTAACAAAGTGTGTTCTCTAGGACTCTTGGCTATGGCTTGAAAGTGCATATTGGTACCCGTACACTTGTAATAGACTCTGAAAATTAGAGCTAATGGTTGGACACCTTCCAAGACTTACTGGGTTTTTGCTCTCTCTCCACTCCTCCTAGTCCACTCACGCCACATCCTTAAGACTTCTTGTTTGGATACAGGCTCTTTTGGTTTGGTTCGAGATTGGAAACTCAGACATTTAAGAAACCAATGAACAGAGAAAATATTGAATTACTGCAAAGACCAAAGAACTAGGTAGAATGAATTAACTATAAATGACTTACTCAATTACCAATCTTCATTATGAATATTTTCATAACCACTGATTTCGATTGGCATAGAATCCTCACTCTCAATCAATTCATAGAATATCTTAAATTCAAAGTAAATACAAATGAAGACCTCCAGTCTTTCTTTTTATTCATTTATCACAATTGGTTCCATGGTTTGTTCAACCCCAATTATCCGTGTTATTTGGTATCAAAGCCTATATATATATATATATATATGTAGTATTTCTCACCGACGGATTGTTTTAGGTAGTTGCTGGGGTTGTGTTACATGGAAGGGATGTGTAAACCGCCATGACTTGCAATGGTAAATTGCTTACAATCGATATTTATGTTGGTGCTTAACGTTTATTTGTTAAACCAATAAAGGCATGTGTCATTGCCGGGTCAGGCTGGGCTCAAATTTGGAGGAATCGAACCTACCCCTTTTAAACTATAACGGGTGAGCTGGGCCAGGTAGATTCAAATGGGTGTGTTTGGGGCGGGTCGACGGTTCCTATTACATTTATTTCCGTTAGCACCGAAGAGACAACGTCGTTCAAGTCGACTTCTCAGTTGTTGAGCAACCGTTTTCTCCGCGACAATTCAAATGCTCAAACCAAATGTCGCCGGAAAATCCAAATGCAGCAATGGCCAGATGGCGCCAGAAAACCCAGATGTGGCTCGGACCGAGCAAGTTGTCTTCCTTAGTCATCATCTTTATCGATCTAGAACCATAAGACCCACCCAACCAACACAAAATCAGAACCATAAAACCCAACCAACACACACAAAATGATAAAACCCAAAAAAATGACCAGATCAAATCAGGTCCCGTTGTCCTCAAACGCCTAGTACCACTACATCATATTCTCCGTTGCCGTTTGTAATGCTCATGCATCTCTGACTCTCTGCAACTTTAGGATGATGGGAGGGGCCGCAATCGACGGAGATGGGAGGGGCCTCGATCGACAGAGACGGGATGAACTCGATCGACGAAGAATAGATAAAGACGGGGATGGAGCAATGACGAACCGACCGACGACAAATGGACGAAGTCGTGAGGTCCGACCGTCTAGAGGTGTGAGAGTTAGATTGGGAGAGAGAGATCGAGAAACTCTCAGTTTGAATAAAGTTGTGAGGTATGTGTATTGTGTTGTGTGTGTGTGGGTGGGAGCGAAGGGTGCACGGTTGTGATTAAGTTTGATGGTGGATACGATTCGGGCTGCAGGCCTTGTCCTCAAATATTTGGACCCATCCCGCCCTGCAATTTACAAGGACCCGCCCCGTCCTGTTTCTGTATAAACTATATTGGACCCATCTCGAAACCGCTCCGAATTGCTTGTGCCCACCCTAACCCGTGAGTCTATAACCTATTTGTCCACCTCTAGTTATTATGGAGCAAGTGGGAGAAGGCAATAATATTTTAATATTCTAAAGTGGTCCATATGATACAGTCCTTGTGATAAGTAGGGTTTAACGAATATTATTATTTGTAAACAATCATATTGGTGAAATTAAAAGATTCAGTTTCCTATCTTATTACAATGATGGGTGGTAATTGATTATAGATTTCAAAAGGAAATAGTTCCTCTCTCTGCTTAATAAAGTGCACATACTCATCTAATTTGTACATCGACAGAAAATACGATTATGGCATTTACTAGCAAACTAAGGCAAAAGAGAGAACACCAATTTCCTCATCGTTTACACAGAAAAGGCTTGTGAGGTTTGTGGGTATTGTGTTCCTAAGCATTGCATCGCTTTCGAATATTTGGGGGATGTCTAGAGATTGAACATAAAACTCTTAAACAAAAATTCACCTCTACAAAAACCCAGGACAACCGGGAATGGGATAGGATGGAAAAAGATAGTAATTAATATCAGAATTCTGAAACACACCCATGTTTCGATCAGGTGTAGACACGAACAATATGAAATCCTTCAACATCTTATATATATATATATATGTATATATATGACAAACATACTGATTCGTTCTGAATGCAGCATTCTATATAATGTCCCCTTAATATTTGGAAACCCCCATGCTTTCTTCGCATATGAACAATGATTACCCGTTGATAGATGTATATAAGCACGAAACTGATCCGTCGATGTAATGGGCACGCAAACCATCCATCAACAGGTAATGATCATAAGTCTGCAGAAAACAAATTAAAGCAGCATTGTCATTGTTTCCTTCAATCATAATTTTATGTTCAAGAGAGAATATTGCAGTAGCAAGTTATAAAACAAAATACGCATGCCTAGCCGATCAAAATGGCCAACCTGCTTTCGAGCAAAGGTACGTTTTGAGTATTCATTGCGATTGTAGTTTAGATTCCAAGGCCATCCATTGCTAGCTCTTTTTCTGATAGCAGCTTCAGTTTCTGGAACATACACAATAATCATGATCGTAAATTGATACTTGAACAACAGTTTAGATAGGACTTCTTTTCGTACGATTCCACATAAGAAATGATGATAGTAAAGGTATACATACCGTAATATACTGTGGGGGTTCAATGAGACCAGTAGTACCCAGGATTACTTCCCTTCTCAATTTCGTCGTCAGCTTGTGACAAACTCGTAACTGAGGACAGCATCAAGATAAAACCGTGAGAGAATATCTAAAAGCACTACACTGCAGATCTAGAAACTAAGCAGAAAAGTTCCTCGCAAATTCTACCTCAGATCGAGTTGCCCCACCAATCATAAATACAAAGATACGTTGCCCCATCTTCTTGAAATCAGTAGATGAACCTCTCAAAACTGAGTCACTACAAAAGGTAGTGGCAGAGCAATGATTAGTTACTATCCGAGTTATGCTGTTCTAAGTTGCCATATGAACTGGCATAAAATCGGATGATTAAATTCAACCGCTGCCCTTGCATGGACATTCAATTGGGGAATGAGCAAATTAACTCTGACTAGGGATTGGGCACCATGACGCTACCTTGAATATCCATCATCAGAATGCCGAGCCCGTCCCCAGTTAGCAGTCCGCCTTGATCTCATTGAATGAGGAGCACTGGTAGATTGGCTTGTCTGCGCCGATGAACTGTGGCCTCTCACACTGCCCCCTTGGGGAGCCGGAGTAGGTTCATTCAAGCATGAATACTCGTTGTTTGGTAATTCACCTTTACTAAGATTTTCAATGATCTCCTGAAAAAAAAAAAAAACAAAAAAATTACACACACAATCACCAAGAATAATCTCTCCTTTTTTTCTCCTCAGTCAGGAAACGGAAAGAGAGTGCAGTATGGGGTTGCTAATTCTAATTAAATGATCAAATGGAAAGTGTCAAAATGTTGTGCAACACATGTGGAGAGACCTTCATGATGTTCAAGCTTACGTACCTCTATCATGGGATAGAATCGAAATAGTTGCCATGTTTCCACCTCACCAGTACGATCCTTCCTCGCTGCTCCCTTCGTCTGATTGTAAAACATGAACATTTATATACAGGCCTTACTCTTTCAGCTGCTTGTTTTCTGAAACAGGACCCTACACTAATATTCAGGAACCATCTCCATAAGTAGATATGCATACCTTCGCAGCATTGAACTTCAGCGAGAAGCTACTAGATGTCTTCTTGGACTCTGATGAACCCCCAAGCAACCGCATATTATTCACAACCTTCATGTCCTCCCGTGATAATTTTGCCAACTAAGTTAACAGACAGAAAGAAATTAACGTAACTATTTTGTTTTTTCAGCTATAAATTAACTTAACTAACCATATACACATAATATAGTAGACATAGATGTCATAGCTACCTGCATTAGTTTAGTAGCTTTGTCTCCCTCGAACTTCTCAGGATATACAGATGCATAAATCATTAAAAGACGCAACTTATTTTCAGGCGTTGTATCCTGCATAAATTGAATAATCTTCCGTTAAAAAATAGTGGGTATCAAATATCAAAAACTACTTGGTGGGAGAACTGCATGTCCTTTGTACATCACCTGATTTGTCCTCAGATAATTGATGACATCCTTGGCTCCTGCATCTCCAAAAACAAGATCCTGCTCCAGTTGCCCGAGGTCTCGAAGTCCTGTTTCCCTGATAATTTTGTTAATTTTCCCTGCAATCTGAGTTGAAACAATGAAGCAAAAGAAATCAGCATGAACGGCTTTGTTACAAGTGAAAGTACATATATTTCATCTAAAGACACACAATGCCTGAAAATGTTCAAAGCTAACCTCAACATGGAGAGAAATCTTTTCAACTTGTTCAGTGTATTGTGGCAAAGCTTGAACCATCTTCTGCAAGTCCCGCGTAGACAACTCATTGCCCTCTCTGCATAAATTAATCTTCTACATTAGAAGTGTATGACAACGATAGTTCAAGATCCAGAAACACTTACATTCGATATCAATTAAAATCTATTATTGATTCTCCTATACTATAGTACTTACAAGCATACTGCTTTACAAATTCTAGGAATAAGCTTCAGTACCAGGGATGCTGCTAAGCTTGAGATTTTTGTACCTCGTATTCATGCAAAAAATGGGACGTTTTTCGAGACTATAATTCAACGCTCCTAAGGTGGAACTGTCTATAAGTTCATGTAGTTCTAGAAAATCTTTTTAATCTGAAACAGCACCAATAAGATAAAACCTCTCTACATCAAATGGTAAACAATTTTTAAGAGTCCCTATTAGATAGTAAGACCAACCTTGCACTCTGTTGGAGCTGTGCAGCTTTATTCTTTGATTGAAAGGTGGTAAACTTGTCGCTCAACCGTTCACTAGCCTGATATTTCAGTTAATCGATTATACTATTCACATTTATAATAGATTCATGTAAACTAAAATGTCTGAAATCACGAAATATACATCTGCTATGTGTGTATGACGAAGCTCAAGCCAGACTGGATCGTTGTCTTCCAAAAGCACCTCCTTTCTCTCAGGATCGCCGCCAGTTTTGCTAGGAACCTAATATACAATATATGTTATCTCTATATATCTAGGGGAGAGAAAAAAAAAACTCCAACTAGAATTAAATACATGAACATAAATAAAATTAAAGGTCATAAAAGGCAACATGAAGGCATACCTCATGCATATATTTGTTCCCGTCCATATCCAATAAATCGTGACACATAGCGTCGTATGTCCATTCATGTATGACCGGAGCAATCTATTACCACATTCGACAGGTCAAAATATAACAGCATACAGAACATAGAAGGAAAAACAGACGGCACAGGACAAGGAATAATAACCTGATCAACAGATCTATCCAAGATGAGCAGTTCGCATGTCTCTTTCTGCGGAAAGTTGGGAATAGAAGATTTATAATTTGAAATTATGTCCCAAACAGCAGCAGCAAGCTTTGTAGGAATTAAGTCACGAGGTGATGCTTCTGTTGAGTCATCTGACTGAGCAGCATGATAACGCACATATGGGAGCTCCTGAGGTAGTGCAAACTTGTTTAGACATTTCCACAAGGAAAAAGGCAGAAAAAACCATTTTATTGACAGAAAAATTATTCCAAAAAGAAAACCAAGCAAGTTATAAACCTTCAAAGAAGCAAAAACCGTAGCAATTCGAGTTGCCATTATGTTTATGGAAGCATTGAATTTGCGAGCATTCTCAGTATTACCAAAGAGCTCCTCCAACGCCCTTTGTTGATCAGTGACAAAAGCCTACAATAAAGTGAATCTCAGTGAAAAATCATCCCCATTTTTACGAAAATAGCTCCAATATCAGTATGTTCAAAGTTTGATCGAAAGCAAAGATAGCCAATTACTCATATTTTTGTGTTAAGTAGCACCTACAGGATGGAAACCGAAACTAAAGAGAATAGTGAGTTACTTTAAAAAAATGAGATATGATGCCACAAAACAAACACGTATAAAAAAAACTATACCAAATATTATAACAGTACCTGACTATCTATAGGAAAGTACTCAAAATTCATCTGCATGGTAACAATGAAACATAAGACCAGACGAGAATTTGAATATAAAAAGTAAAAACAACAGTCAGAAATACGGAGCAATCACATAAGAAAAGACCGACCTCTCTCAGTGCACCTATGCGGGGTAAAACACTTGTATCACTCTTGATGTGATTTACAAGTTCCTTTGGGATAGGTGAACTGAAAAATACGAATGCTCTACAACCAGGAAATTGAAACAGGCAAGAAAACAAAAGAAAACAATCAGCACATTGCGCTGTTTTGAAATCGCAAGTGATAAAAGCTCAAGTTTTTGTACCACTGGGTACAATATATAAAATCTCAAATTATAACAAATTGTTATCATACTTCCTGTATAACGGCTCCCTTCCAGACATGTCAGACAGGAACATGACTATACTGCATGCTAGCAAAAGATACGGTTAAAATAGACCATACGAAAATGAAATTGTAAATTTTCGTTACTTCTCAGTAAGCAGTGCTAAACAGACGAAAAAAGGATCAAGGATTGTATGTTCTGAATAAAACTGTACTTCTCTTTTGTTGGCTGGATGAAATAAACAACATCCATGGACGGCAATGGTTCTCTCCTCCGAAAAAGGTCTTCCACCACTGCAATAAACGAGAATCGGTTTCTAGTAAGTCCCAAGGAACAATAAAAAGCATAGGGAAGCACAGCATGAAAGTCTTTGGCTAAAGATGTCTTAGCTGATATCGTAACCAATGACATGTACCAAAATACTATTTGTTCATTCGAATTAACATCAAAATAGAGTGTACATTCTCCACAATTTTCATCCCGTCGAATTCTATCACCTAACTCACTCTGTAGTCCGTACTATTTGATTCAATTTCCTCCCAATCTCAACTCTTATTTAATATCGGAAAATTCAGAGTGACTCGGACCAAAAACTTAGAAGAAGATGGAAAAACAAATGCAACATTCTAAGCATTGCGGTGGTGCATATGAACGAAAAATTGATAGTAGTGCTCACGCGAAATTTCTTGGTCTGTGATATCTGCCATTTTACATGAATGGGACATGACTTTCACTGTCACTTTATCCATGATAAGCACCTGGGAAGGAAATTAATTGAACTCAATACGCCGCAAGTAATTCAAGTTTTAAATGACCAAATGAAAAATCTAAATAACAAATGCCTTGAAAGGGTCGTAATTTAGCTTCTTAAGTTGGAAACAAAAATTAAACACAGAATTTAACATACCTTCCAAGACTTGGAATTCTCTGTTCTGGTAGATCCAAGCATTTCGTGCAATAACCCTAAAATCCAAAATCCAAATATAAATATATGTCACTCACATTACGACGATGTGTTGTGTTGTCTCGCATCAGAAATTTAGCAAACTTTGCAAGGTTTTATTTTATAAGGAGTTGAGCAACTCAGCGATGGTGGAACCTCAACTTCCTTCTATTACAATTCCGCCTTGCAATTGCATTGCATGTCTCAAATTATCAAAATTTCAATGATCTCGCACATTTTCTCGGAAAAGAAGTGTATAATAACATGGAGACCATAATTTGGAGCCTTATTAATGCTGAGGTTTTTGAGATTCAAAACTTCCAGCTCACGCATTTTCTCGAGAAACAAACAGAAAATAAGAACAAATCAAATACAAAAAGAATGTGAGAAAGAAAATTGTTGGTTCGAGCGAGAGCTTACGGTCACGGCTGACTTGTCGGAAAATTTTGTACTCTGTAGCTCCGCCATGAGAAGACGAATCAGAATCAGAAAACGACATCGTCGTAGCAGCAGATCAGATTATTGGATTCAAATTCAATAAAAAAAATAAATTAGATTAATGAATTAATGATCCAGAGAGATAGAGAGAGGGAGAGAGGTTCAGCTGGAGTTTGGGAGGCGAGAAAGGAGCGGGAAGGAAGCGAATGTCGTTATACTGGTACTTTGACGTGTCAAACGAAACGTTTTTTTTTTTTTTTTTTTTTTTTTTTTTTTTTTTTGGAAAATGACGTGTCAAACGAAGCGTTAACTTCGCTTAAGTTTTCACTTTTACGGACGAGCAAACGCTCTCAATGCGGCGTCGTTTCCTTTGTGTTGTTCTTGTCGGGGCGAAAAAAGGCAGAAGCATTCATGTCTAAAATTAATCTAGTCGTAAAAATTAAGAAGATCAAGAGTTAATATTTAGTTTCGATAATGTCGGGACTCACAATGATTTATAAATGACGTGATTCTTCCTCCATTGCTAACAAATAAGCATGTCATAAATATTCTCAAGTTTTCTGTTCTTCCTCCATTCTTAGAAAATATGTCACACATTTTTTTAAGGTTCTAAAAGACATTAAGCGTTAATTAGGTAACGAGTTAGGGTCTAGCGCCTAGAATGACTACACAGATTTAAGTAAATTTATTATGAAGAAATTGAGTTTTCATCCCTTTTTTTTACTCCATTGATTAAAATTTTATTCATTTTCAATTTTTAATCAAGGTCCTTAGGTTTTAATCAATTAGTTCAATAATAAAATATTTACATAGCAAGATAATTTAATTTAATTTCTTTTCATTTCAATTGTATTTCTAAATATATTCATTTAGTGTTATAAATGTTACATTTTGACACACCCCGACCGAGATCAGGGCATGCTAGCCGTTACGTGGAAGTGACGTAACCATGTGCACAGTGCGGAAGCTAATAAATAATAATAAAAGTATGAATAAATAAAAACCAAGCTATACACTAAGTAGAACATCCACGTGCAAGCGTAAGTGTGAAAAAACAATATTCAGAGTACGGAAGACCTAGTACAGTCCGGGAGAACAAACACTAAATGAACACACCCAATGGTGGTCCTACACTGGTGATAATCTGTCAGATATGCCGTGAATCCCTTGAGAGCCACCAACAGAGCTATCCAAACTAGAACCTGGAGGGGCGCAAAACAGAAAGTGTGAGTGGGCAAAAACAAAGCTTTTCAAAATCATTTCAATAACAAAGTTCTAACTCCTCGCCGTAAAACATGTATAGTTTCCCAGAAAATAGAATATGCACATATATAAATCATGCTCAGAAATATGTCTTGTCGAATGCCTCTACATAGAAATGCAAGTACCCAGGTAATGTCAAATCAATGCCATGAAATCTGTCAGCCGGAGTCACATAACGTGACATGTACGGCTGAATCTAGAGCTCAAATCTCCAACTCACTAACTATACTTGCACACAAGTCAGAATCACCTAAAGTGGTCTGTACGACAGGACTGTGCACCTAACTTGGATCCAAGATGAGCGTGTGGTGCAGGAGGTGAACATCACTTGAAGGACTGTGCCCTACTGTGGGCGGGAGCACTAACACCGGGGGTGCAGGTTATGAGCTCTTTATGCATCTCAAATCACTACTAAACCTAATCATAAACCATAACTTACCTGACACTTACTTGTGCGTCCGCAGCACCAAACATATATGTATATGCAACTACTAATGCATAATTAAATAGGCAAACGCAATGCATGACATTTAAAACATATAAACGTTTCATTCATTTTCTGGGAAAATCATAAGTATATAGGTATATACAGAAAACCAAAAGCCCACTCACTGGTATGTAGAAGGGTCGTAACCCCCTTGCCTTAAGTGACTACACTCGTCCTCGGGATAGGTCTCACCTATATGTGAAACAACTATAAAAACGTAAATTTTAAAACACATAACCAACATTACGAAATAACTTCTCATACAATGATCAAATGGGGTGTATGAATACATCAACGTGATCTACTCAACCTTACGAACATAAAATAATTTTCTGACACCGCACGTGCCCCCACGCACCAGCCAAGGCACGGCCACACGCGCTGCCCACGCGCAAGCACGTGCCTGGCACACTGACGGCGTCAGTTAACGCTGTCAGGAATATTCCGTTAACTTTGATAGTTTCCGTTAAATTTAACCTAACGCCGTTAGGAATATTCCGTCGTCTTTTCCAGCCAATCTCCGGCACCGTCGCCGTTGCCGGAAAACCAGGAAAATTTCTAAACTTAATAACTCACTCGTTTTTCACCCAAATTTCACGAAATTGGTACCACAATGAAGCTTACAACTAAAGGAACAAATCTTTACCACTTTCAAGCACTAAAACCAACTGAATCTCGTTGGAAAAACCCCACCAACTCCGACCAAACCTGCAACTCACGATCCCGACGTCCAAAACCTTCAAACGAACCACCCCGAGCTTCCTAAGGACCTCACCAAGCTTCCTACAAGCTTGAAATTCCCAAAATCAAAAGATTGTACGTATGCATGAACAATGACCAAATCAGGTATCTTGACTTCGACGTGAAAACAAAGGTTCCCTTACCTGAAATGGGTATGGTTGAAGTCCTAAGAACCTCACGAGTACAAATGTAAAGTTTGCTTCCTCGATCTACCAAGTTTTCGAACACGGTCTTGTACGTACAAGGAAGAAAGGAAAAGGAGAGAGAGAAAGAGAGAGAGAGAGAGAGATACGGGATAGAGAGGGTCAATAGGAAAAGGTGAGGAGAATGATGATGAATGTGTGGCTAAGATGCAGCCAACCAAGTACTTAAAGCAACCACACAAACAACAATTATCCATTAGGGGCAAAACCGTCATTTCACCCCTACGGTATGAAAAATCAGGGACGGGCTGTCATAACCTACCTACCTTAAAAAAATTTTCGTCCCGAAATTCATAACAACCACTAGCGATCAAAGAACAATCGAGGATACAAATCTCTCATCCGATCTTCAGTTTCCCAAGTAGCTTCCTCCACTGTATGATTCCTCCACAAAACTTTCACCAAATTCACTATCTTGTTCCTCAGAACCTTTTCCTTCCAATCCAGAATCGTCACTGGTTCCTCATCATAAGTCAAATCCGAATTAATTTCCAAGGGTTGAGGAGGTATCATATGAGACGGATTCGCAACATAATGTTGAAGCATAGACACGTGGAAAACGTTATGCACCTTTGCCAGCTCAGAAGGTAACTTAAGTCTGTAAGCCACTTCACTAACTCGCTCAGAGATCATGTACGGTCTGATATACCTGGGACTCAGCTTACCCTTGATTACCTGAACATGCCGATCCGCTAAGCTCTTTTGTCGATTCCGGGCTACCTTCAGGTTAGACTTGATTACCTGAACATTTTGAGTAGTTTCCTCAACAATCTCCGGGCCCACCAAAACTTTTTCTTCGACCTCTAACCAACACAAGGGTGTGCGACAAGATTTACCATACAACGCCTCAAATGGTGCCATGCCGATACTCGAATGAAAACTATTGTTGTAGGTGAATTCCATTAAATCCAACCGCTTGTGCCAAGCATCACCAAACTGTAACACCGAAGATCTCAACATATCCTCCAACGTCCGAATGGTTCTCTCTGACTGTCTGTCTGTCTGAGGATAATATATTGTACTATAAAGTAATCTCGTACCCAAAGCTTCCTAAAAAGCCACCCAAAATTTAGAAGTAAATCTTGGGTCACGATCCGAAACAATACTCATAAAAACACCATGGTACTTCACGATCTTCGAGATGAACAACACAACTAATCGGCCCAAAGAATACTTTTCCCTTACTGGAATGAAATGTGCTGACTTAGTAAGCCGATCAACAATCACCCAAATGCCGTCAAATATTATGTGTACGCGGAAGCTTGTACACAAAATCCATAGTAATGTTTTCCCATTTCCACTCTGGAATGAGAAGCGGCTGCAACAACCCAAACGGCTTCTTTCTTTCAGCTTTAATTTACTGGCACACGGCACACCTACTCACATACTCAGCTATCTCCCTCTTTATACCTGGCCAATAATAAAATGGTCGAATGGTATGATACATTTTAGTAGCTCCTGGATGCATCGCATAAGCCGAGATATGTGCTTCATCAAGAATTGCTTTCTTTAAATCCAAATTATTAGGCACAAATATCCTACCTTCCTGCATAAGCATGCCATCCGATTCACGAACTCTGAGGTCTTTCCTCTTCCCTTGATTCCTTGCTTGGATTATTTCTTGAGTTTCCTCATCAACTACCTGAGCTTCAAGCACACGATCAACTAAAATTGGCCTAACTTGAAAGTTAGCAAGTAAAGCCACCTCTTAATCTTCTGCCTCTAACCTCACTCCCGTGGATCTTAAGTCTGCCAGAAGAGGAATGCGACTAGTGTACAACGCATTGATAAGGCCCTGAGACTTCCTGCTAAGTGCATCAGCTACCATATTTGCACGACCAGGGTGATAATTAATCGTGCAATCATAATCACTAAGCAGTTCCAACCATTTCCGCTGACGAAGATTAAGATCCCTCTGCGTGAAAAGATACTGAAGACTCTTATGATCTGTATAGATCTTGAATTTTTCTCCATAAAGATAATGTCTCCACAACTTCAACGCAAAGATAATGGCTGCTAGCTTCAAATCATGCGTAGGATCATGAGGTTTCAATTGTCATGAAGCATAAGCAATTACCCTACCATACTGCATCAACACACATGCCAGACCATTCAAGGAAGCATTATTATAGACCTCCAAATCACCACTATCGTCCGGGAGTGCCAAAACAGGTGCATGAGTGAGACAATACTTCAGCTGCTGGAAACTCTGCTCATAATTATCATCCCACTCAATTTTAACATCTTTCCTCGTTAACCTTGTCAGTGGTAAAGCAATCACGGAAAAATCCTTCATAAATCATCGATAATACCCTGCTAAACCAAGGAAACTCCTCACCTCAGTGATGGTTCGCGGTTGCTCCCACT